CCCCAAAACCCCAAAACCCCGTTCAATAATAAAGTGGGCCAAATTTAAAATTATAAAAATCAAAATAGGATTAAAATATAATAATCATAAATTAATAATTAATATAAAATAATAATGTAGGATTATCTGATATCAAGATAAGTATTCTTACTTTTGACTATTCTTTATGTTACGATGACAAAATATTATGATCTACCTAGTTGTGGTAACAAGGCATCATTACCTCTAGAAATTAGTTTGGGTTAGGAATTCCCAATAAGGATCCAAGGGGCAACTTTTAATAGGTAAGGAGAGTTGTCATTCGGTGGGATGATTTAAAACTCATAATTGAAAGATGAAAAACTATTTCTGGCATATTACTAAACTGAACCCAATACTATCTATTGGATAAAATAACTCTCACTAATAGATGTAGTACTGTAAGAAATTGATTAGATAATGGCTGTTTTAAACGAATTAAACTTTTATGTATTAATAGATCAGACCTATTTTCTACTCGTCACAGCTAACGGTAGTGTTGATAAATAATATAGATTAACTTAGATAGGCCTACCTCATATTTTAACTCATGTATAATTCGAAATCCATTATTTTATTTTTAGAATTTAGCTACATATCCAAATATTTAAGATGTCCTATTTATTATTAGATCAGATGATAAAAGGCTCTATAAATATGGATTTGATATCAATTTGAAAATTAAACACTTAAGCTATTTTTTAACTGATGATACAGCCATTATTGAAAAAGCAGAGATAAATCCATTCATTTCTGTGTGAGATGGTATAAAAACAATTGGTGTTATGATAACATATTGCCAATTTTAAATACCTTATTTTTAGCCATTTTTACAATGACAACATTAACTTCAATTTCTTTGGCTGTGCTTATTCAGAAATTTCAGTATCTAATGGTCTAAAATTTTGGGGATTATTTAGCGTTAATAATGAAATTAAAGAAATGACTTTAAAGATTGCTTCTACTTTAAATGGGATTAAGCGTTGTATAGAAAGCCAATTATTTTAATCTTAAAATGTTATAATAGCTTGGTTTTCCTCATCTACTGAACTCACATAATATAAGTGGGACTACAAGAATGATTAGATAGAGACTAGATAAATCTAATTAATTTTAGATCCACTTAAAGAATTTTTAAGTGTCAAAGCAATATATAAAAATGAATATTATGCAGCATTTGGATATAAAGATTATAAAGCATATATTGGAGCGATTCATTAAGGAATATCTTGCAAATAAATGAGTGATTATCCAGTTATTGAATCTGAACCTATATTGAATCAAAAATTTACTGGTTTAGATACGCAAATTTAAATAGTTGATGGTATTGTTGGATAATCCCCATAATCTAATCCTACTTTTTAAATTAGAGATTTAAAAATACAAAACAATGACATTTTAACTAAAAAGGGAACTTTTAAGTCTGTTTGTTAGACATCAATTGAACCATCTGTAAATTTCAATAGCAACTAATAAATTTCTCAGAGCAACTATATTTGTTATACCGGTGAAGAATGTACCTTGACTTTTGGATATTTTATTATGGAGTCATGCTGAATAGATCCTTCTTAATTATAATTAATTTATGGAGAAACATAATACTAATACTTGGAATCTTATTCAACAGTAAGCAGCTTTCTGACTAATGATGATTCGATCTTAAACATATACGTTACAGTAAAAAAGAATTTTACACATACAGAGAAAGAAAATGTTAGTTCAATGACATTATAAGTATAATCTCTTACATCAGTAGCAAGTTAAGTAGTTAAGAGTTCACCCATTCAAATATTTGTTAATATTCAATGTCAAGCATTGAAACCTTAAAGCTAAACAGTATCTGATTAGACTTATATATTATGGCAGCCTTCAATATCTATAGAGCTACCTTCATTAATACTTGATAGGTATTGTGCTATATCGAATGAATAAACTATCGTGACAATTGATCACTATCAAGTGCCGCCTAGTTTTATAAAGTTAAATAATAAATTTTTAACAATATGGACAGATGATTTGCAACATATTGGCTCTTATCAATTAACTTTATAATACAATTATCTAGTAAAATAAGGTAATTAAGTATATCCAAGGACTATTACAAAGTAGAT